GAGGAGGAGGACGACGAGGTGGAGGAGGGTGGAGGACGCGGGGGGGGCGCTGCGCGCGGCCGCGGGGGGGTGGGGCCGCGCGGGCCGCCGAGCGTCCTGCGCCAGGGAAGCCCGCGCCACGAGGCGCATCGCCTCAGCGGGCCGCCACAGCAGAGGTTGGCGGCGCGCAGAGGAGGGGGTACGGCGGCAGGTTCGCGTCACGTCGACCCCGGCGTGAGTTACTGACACCGCGGGGATCGTTCCAACTTGAACGATCGGACGTTCCGTGAACGCCGGGTCGCTCAACGACGGGCCGACTCTGGGCCACGGGCGGCGTTCAACCTGAAACGCACGCGGTGGGGTCGCCGCCGGTCGGCACGACGCGAATCCTGTCGTGGAGGGAAGGGGGAAAGCTTCTTAGAAGGAGGCTGCTTCTTAGAAGGCGCTGGCCCTGTATCGACAGAGAAGGCCCACGCCTTCTAAGAAGCCGGGGTGCTTCTAAGAAGCCTTCCCTCTGCGCGTGGGCGGAGGGAAGGCCTTCCCTGATCGTTGGAGGCGGGAAGCTCTCGGTCGCGGCCGACGAGATCGATCGCTGCCAATGTTGAGCAGATGCCGAGGTCGGCCGCGACCGCTCATGGGATCGGTCGCGATGCGTCGCGACCGATCCGGAGCGCCGATCGTTCGCATACCGATGGCGGGCAAGCAAAGCCGACATCCAGCGATCTGGGTCGGTGGGCCGCGGAAGCGGCAAGGACTTTTTCACAGGCCTCCTGTGTGAGGTTCTCGTTGTGATTCGAGCACTGCGGTCGCACACTCCCCTGCCTCTCTCTTCCTCCCTGCTTCCCTCCTCCCTGGGTGGCCGCGAACTGCGCGACTGCCGCCACGCTCGTGACTCCTCTGGAGAAAGGCAGAACCGCGGAGTACGCGAGACCTCGCTGCTCCCTGGGTGGCTGCGACCTGCGCAACTGCGCGCCACCTTCGTGGGACCCCGGGAGGCACGGCGTAGCCGCGGAGTACGCGAGACCTCGCTGCTCCCTGGGGGGCTGTGAACTGCGCGCCACGTTCGTGGACTCCAGGGAGGCGCGGAGGAGTAGCAGAAAACGCGAGATCTCGCCGTCACCTGGGCGTCTGCGCCCTGCCCAACCGGCGCCACTTCCGTGGGCTCCTGGGGAGCACGGCGGAGCAGCGGAGCACGCGAGACCTCGCAGCTTCCCGGGGGGGGGCTGCGAACTGCGCAGCGGTGGCCACTCTCGTTGGCTGCTGGGAGGCCCGGCGGGGACGCGGAGTGCGCGCACCCAGGCGGGACCTGGCAGCTTCCTGGGGAGCTGCGACACGCGCAGCGGTCGCCACTCTCGTTCGGCTGCTGGGAGGCACGGCGGGGGCGCGGAGCACGCGCACTCGGGCGGGACCTGGCAGCTTCCTGGGGAGCTGCGACGCGCCCAGCTGTTTAGGCGGGGCGAACAGGGCCATCCAGAAGGTGGGCCGTCGAAAGGGTGCATGGAACGGCTTTCGGGGAGGCGTTCCAAGATTTCTGGAACGCCTTTCCGCCCAGCGTTCGGAGCAGTTCGGTCGCCTCGGCCCACGGCCCGCTACCGCGTCGACATGGAGACACCTCGAAGCGGGATCAGGCCGCACGAGTGAAGCCAAATTGTCTGCGAGGGGCAGCCTTGGAATTGCTGTTCTGCCACCCTCTCTCCTTCTCGTCCTAGGTGTGCCCGTCGACCGCCGCGCCCTTTCTGTGGCGCCGAAGTGGCCACTTCGCCTGGTCTGCCCCGTGCACGCTCCCGTGCTGGCCCTCCCCCTGCCTCCGCCCACCGCGCAGCCCCTTGCCCCCTCCGCCGCCACCTCCCCTTTTCTCCCTTCACTCCCCTTTTCGCCCCGCGTCGTCGTCGTCGTCGTCGTCGTCGTCGTCGTCGCCCCGCGTCCCACACCAGTGTCGTTCAGCGCCTCACTGATGCTAGCCCGCTACTTACATCTGCCAACCGCGCCCATTTTCTCTCGCACTCTGCCTCCCTCATCCCTCCCCCCCCCCTCCCCCTCCCTTCCCCCAGCTCCCCTGTCCTATTTCGCCTTCCCCCGTCCCCTTCCCCTTCCCTCCCTCCATTTGCCCCTTTCTTCCAACCTCGTGCTCTCCCGCTCCCACCCCTCCCCATTCCCTCCGCCGCCAGCCCTTCCCGAACGCTGTTCCGGGAAGGCGCGCAGCCCTTCCCGAACGCTGTTCCGCGGAGGCCGAATGCAGGCCCCAAGTGGGCCATCCGTCCGGCTGATGCTCCGAGGCCCCAAGTGGGCCATCCACCCGGCTCCTGGAGGCCGCCCCCCCCGAGGCCCCAAGTGGGCCATCCATCCGGCTCATGCACGCCCCCGACCCTCGCACGCCCTGCGCGCAACCCCCTCGCCGCCCCCAGGCCCCAAGTGGGCCATCCACCCGGCTCATGGAACATCACACCGGGGCACCCAGTACCCCTGCACTGGTCCAGGGCCCCAAGTGGGCCATCCGTCCGGCTGATGCTCCGAGGCCCCAAGTGGGCCATCCACCCGGCTCATGGAACCCCTTCCCAGAGCTCCCTCGGAAAGGCGTTCCGCGCCTCGGGGGAAGGGTACTCGCGCGCCTGGCCGCCTTGGCTCCCGCGACCCAGGGCGCCCTTGCACCGATCCCAAACCACCCCGCCTCTCCCTCCCCTTCTCCTGCTCCCATGCCTCCCTCCATCCCTCCCTCCCGCCAGCATTCCTGCCCTCTCGCCCCGCACCTCGTCGTCCCTTTTCTCCCTTTTCGCCCCGCGTCGTCGTCGTCCTCCTCCTCCTCCTCCTCCTCCTCCTCACATGTCCTCATCCTTCCGCCCCCCCTCCTTCCTCCTCCATCATCCTCCGCAATCCTGCTCCCGCCCTCCTCCCTCATCGTCCTCCATGCTCATCCTTATGAACCTCCTTTTCCTCCTCCTCCCTCATTCATCCCATTATCACCTCTCCCTCCTCCTCCTTCTCCTCCTTCTCCTCCTCCTCCCCTCCTCCTCCCCCTTTTTTTGACAACCCAACGTCGAGGCGAGTGCACCGCGTCTAGAAGGGCAGCAGTACAGGTGTGGAGGACACTGAGAAAACATGAAGGGAGAAGAGATCGAAAGCCAGTGGGACCATTAAATACGCAAGAGAAGTGGAGACAGTCGAGAGGGCCCAGGGCTGTCTAGCTGGCAGGAGCTGATTCCAGCAAAGATGGTTGAGGGACGAGGTGAAAGTGGACGGCCGAGCCATCCGCAATCCCAGCTGTGATTTCTCGCACCACCGCGCTTCCATCCACCCGATGAACGGCCCACTTGTTCATCCACCCCCTGGATGGCCCAGTTCGCCCCCTCCAAGCTGTCGTCACTGTCGTGGGCTCCCGGGAGGTACGGCGGCGTCGTGGAGTACGCGCATCCAGCCGAGACCCCTCGCAGCTCCGTGGGGAGCTGCGGAGATTGCGCAGCTGTCGCCACGTTCGTGGGCCCCTGGGTGGCATGGCGGAGTGGCAGCTCCCTGGGGGGGGGGGGCTGCGAGCTGCGCAACGGTCGCCACGTGCGTGGGCTCCTGGGTGGCAGGGCGGAGTCGTGGAGCATACGCACCCAGCCGAGACCTCGCAGCTCCTCGGAGGACTGCGAACTGCGCAAGTGCTGCCACTTGCGGGGGCCCCTGGGAGGCACGGCGGAGTCTCGGAGTAAGCGCACCCAGGCGGAACCTCGCAGCTTCCCGGGGGGGCTGCGAGCTGCGCGACCGTCGGCACTTTCGCGGGCTCCCGGGAGGCACGGCGGAGTGGCGGAGTACGCGGGACCAGGCGGGACCTCACTGCTTCCTGGGGAGCTTCGAGTGGCCCAACTGCTGCCAATTCCGTGGGCTCCTGGGAGGCACGGCGGAATGGCGGAGTCCGCGCACCCATGCGGGACCTCGCAGCTCTCCGGGGGTCTGAGCTGCGAACTGCGCAGCTGTCGCCACTTTCGTGGGTTCTGGGGGGCACGCCGGTGTCGCGGAAGACGCAGACCCAGACGGGACCTCGCTGCCTCCTGGGGGGGCTGCGAAGTGCGCAATTGTCGCCACTTGCGTTGGCTCCTGGGAGGTCCAGCAGAGCCAGGGCCCACGCGGATCCGACTGGGACCTGGCGGTTCCCTGGGTGACTGCGAAGTGCGCAATGGTCGCCACTTCCGTGGGCTCGTGGGAGGCACGGCGGAGATGAGGCCCGCGCGGATCGTGCGTATCTGGTGATGTGTTCTGTGGTATGGAGCGTTCACGCAAATATTCGCCTCGCACGGAGACGGGGTTGGTTATGTTTCGGGTCAGATGTTATCGCTTTCCAAAACAAAGCTGTGTCTGGAGCATGACAACAGTAGAACAACATGCAACCTGGAAACAAGAAGACAATGCTTGAGCATTGGAGTCGGAACTGGAACCATACAGAAAAGCGACGGGAACGGACACAAAAACTGCACAACGGAACTGGCAACACAAGCGACAAAACGGAACCGCTATAAAAACGGTCCTGTCGCTTCCAGGGCCCGCTGAGGGAGGACCGAGTCTGAGGGGGGCGGTCCACTCCGACAGTCTGGAGGTTTGGAGGCGGATGAAATCGGGGCCGATCGGGACGATGAAATCGGGATTGTGGGGCGCTCCTGATTGGCAACGTTAGGAGGGGACCAGCTCAGGGGTGGGGTGGAGGGGGGAAACGTCGAGCTCGAGTCGGCGATACTGCGCCGACATGTCGCCGATAAATCGGCGATAAGCCCCCGATAGCGAAGCCGCACGTTCCCGGGCGGGTTGGGTTGTCAGACCCCTATCGGCGATGAATGGACGAGCGGGGTGTGTTGCGTCCAGCCCTGAGCCTATTAACAATCCCGACCACCCGAGGAAGGACCGAGGGAGGGAATCAGGGCGGACAAGAGGGACGAAGAGGTCGCGACGATCAGCGTCCCAGACCTCCGACGCTATACCAGCTTTCCACTGGCAGTATCCCCTCGATCTCGGCCGGGGGCCGCTTTCGGCCCCGGGGGCGGCCAGCAGCGATGGATTCGGGACGATCAAGAGCTTGTTGTTCTTTAGAATGCAGCAAACTTACTTGCATGGCATTCGCCCCCCCCCCCCCCCCCCCCCCCCCCCCCCCCCCCTAAATAAACTTGTGCCAGAGTCTAAACAAAAACAGGCTCCGATGGATCCGGGACGACCAAGGGGCCCAAGGGTTATGTTGTTCCCATCCGACTTAAGGACCGCATCCCAGAAATAATTTCGAGCACCCGGAAAAGTGTCAAAAGAGTGTCGAAACAGTGTCGGGCGAGTGTCTCCCAGGACCAGACACGTGCAAACCCTCGAGCTTCGGTACTTTTTGGGGCGCTCGAAATTCTTTCTGGCAGTCAAGGCTAAAGTAGGTTTGGGGGGGAAACAAACCTACCTCGCTTTTGACCACCCTCGCTTCCAACAGATACCAAACGATGCCAAACTACGACCTGTACTGGTCAGGCCGCTTGACGAGGAGGCGCGTGGTATGACTTGGTTTTGCCTGGAAGCGAAAGCGGGGTAGGTAATTCACGCTCTGAAGGTTGGAGCATCATCGTCCAAGGAACGGGGTCGGGACCACTGGGGCCGCGGCCTGACAAGGCACCTCGGCGGACGGGCTGGGCGTGCCAGGCTGCTCGGCTGCTGCCGCCCCTGGACCCCCTCTCGCCCTTGGCAGCCCCGCGGACGTGCCGCCGCAGAGGACGAGGACGAGGAGGAGAAGGAGGAGGAGGAGGAGGAGGAGGAGGAGGAAGACGAGGAGGAGGAGGAGGAGGAGGAGGACGAGGAGAAGGACGAGGAGGAGGAGGAGGAGGACGAGGAGGAGGAGGAGAAGGAGGAGGAGGAGGACGAGGAGGAGGAGGAGGAGGAGGACGAGGAGGAGGAGGAGGACGAGGAGGAGGAGGACGACGAGGAGGAGGAGGAGGACGAGGACTCCCCCCCCCCCGCGGGTGGCTGCCGGCGGGCCGAGCGCCCGGCCGCCGCCTCCTCACCGGCGCAGGCGCCGGCCGCGCGGCGCAGCCGCAGCGCCTCCTCCGCGGCCTGCAGCGCCTGGGCTCGGCTCAGCTCGGAGGAGGGGCGGGTCCTCGCAAGAGTCAGGGAGACGTAAGACTCGGGTACGGGGGACTCGAGTGGGCCTGACAGGGCCATGATAAAAATGACAAGACCCGGTCTGGAATTTGGCGCGACCTCCCGCTGCAAACATCCCACGAAAACGGGACCGTCAAAATCCAGGACGCGCTCGTCAAAAAAACGTCGGCAAACCCGAGTTCTGGCTCACCCGAGTCTTACGTTTCCCCGAAAGAGTTGGGTCGGGCACGTGCTCCTGCAGTCAAAGCAGTGGCGAAGCGTCCTGGCGTGCCTACATAGCCCCACCGAGCAATGTTCCAAGAACCTCTTGTGTGGCTTCCACGACATATTCTTAGAACATTTCTGGCTGGGGCTGGCTTGTTTGAACACATCGGGCTTATGTTCTTTTCTAAGAACATCGTTTTTGTTCTTAGAACACTTTTAGGTTCTAAGAACATTTCGTGGTAGGACTATAGAAATGCCGGGACGGTCGGTCCCTGCTCAACACAGGCGGGTTGTGGACGACATATAAAGAAAGTAGTCCAAACATATTCACCAACAGCAGATCATGGTGGGAACTTCGTCCCATTAATATTTGTTTACCGTGTTTGAACATTCCTCCTGTACGTAGAGGGGCATGCCCGACTGGACGCAAGAGCTGGTCCACTGGGCCCTGGGAGGGGCCGAAGACCAGAGCCCTCCCCGAGCACCAGCGGGTCCTTGCTGCAAGGGCCTTTTTCTGTATGTAATGTATACACATATGTGTGTATGTATGCATGCATGCATGCATGCATGCATGCATGCATGCATGCATGTATGTATGTATGTATGTATGTATGTATGTATGTATGTATGTACGCATGCATGCATGTATGTATGTTTGTATGTACGTATGTATGTATGTATGTATGTATGTATGTATGTATGTATGTATGCAGGTAGGTGTGTGTATGGTTGTGTGTAGGTATTTGTGTATGTGTGTATGTATGTGTATATATATATGTATACACATGTATATACATAAATGTATGTATGCATGCATGCGTGCATGCATGTATGTATCCACATATGTGTGTATATATATATATATATATGTATGTATACATATAGGTATATAAACAACTCTGGCAAGTTTACCTGCATGGACGGGGGGGGCTAAACCTGAAGCAGGGCAGGCCACAAACGACTTGACGTGCGGAAATCACGCAAGTCGAAAGGCACTTGCACGCTCGCCTTCGATTGAGGAGGGGCGGGGGGGGGGGGGGGCGAACGCCATGCATGTAAGTTTGCCGGATCCTAGAGAAAAACAGCTCCAACGTCCCCGCTGCAGGGGCGGGGCGGCCGGCCCCGAAAGGGGAGGGGGGGGGCGCGGGGGGCACCGTCGTCGGCAGGAGCCGCTCTGGCCGCGGGGAAGCTTCCACTCGTTGGGCGAAGTGACGCCTCGTGCCCCGAGGCGCGATGAGTTTGTCCACTGCGGGTCGATGTCTCCGCCTCCTCGTCCTCCGATGCTTCCCGGCGTTAACCTATGGCTGCCAGATTCCCCAACCGCCAGACGCTGGGACGTCCGAGTCTGACTTGCCCTTCCATTGCGCCATCGCGGGCACGCGATTTCAACCAACGGCGCTGCTGCAGCTGATGGGTCGCGCAGACACGGCGCCATTGATTGATCGAGCGGATGGGCGCCCTGGAAACTGAGCGCCCGCAAGGGTCAAAACGCACGGCAACTCGATCGAAGTCTTCTCTGCCACGTGCACGTGGGGACTCGGGAGCCCCCAAAACGTCTGTTTGCAGCCACACTTGTGTGAAAAACCGCACCATGCTACAGTGGAGGCCAGTCCACAAGAAACCTTCCACACAATTCCCAACCCTGAGACCCCAGGACGTCCATTGATTTTTGCTGTGGGAACGTCGCGCCTTCCATGGCAAAACCATCGAAACCTAAGAAACCCAGGGCACCCTGGAAGTAAGAAAGGTGTGTTTCTTGGCATGGGCCTCCACTGTAGTGAGCAGCCGCTGCCAGACAGACCCCGTCCCCCCCAGCCGGCGGCCCCTCGCTCGCGAAAGACACGCCCCGGGCCGCCTGCCCACACGTCTTGGGAGCGAGGGGGAGGGGGGTCGCCACGGCAGGGGGTCGGGTTGCTAGGGGCCGGCCGCCCCTGATACAGGCCTTGGACCCAAGGCCTTCCCCCAGGGACCGCCGTTTCTTTATTATTTTGTTGGGTTTCTCTCTCTCTCTCTCTCTCTCTTTTTTTCTCTCTCTCTCTCTCTCTTTCCCTTCTCATTGATACATATATATAATATAAACATCAAACATCCCAGACTGTTTGGTTCGACGGGCCCCGGGTACAGCTGAAGGGCCCCACTCGAGATTGAAGGCGGCGACGCGACTTCATGGAGTCGCGTCCGTCTGGGGCCCTTTTTACAGAGACCGCCGCCACCGATAACCCGCCACCGAGAACCGCTTGGGGGGGGCATGGGTGGCGACCTTGGGTGGTAGCGCGTCTGAGCGTCGTCCTGTACTGGGGGTGATGCCAGGGCGTGCGTGCCACCTCCCAGTGGTCACCACCCCCGGCCTTTGATGGGTTCTCGGAGGCGGTGGTCTCTGTCTCTGTCTGTTTCTGTCTCTTTCTCTGTCTCTGTCTTTTTTTTTTCTCTCTCTCTCTCTCTCTCTCTCCCTCTCTCTCTCCCTCTCTCTCTATGTACATCTCTCTTTCATGATCGTTCTCTCTCCCTCTCACTCTCTCTCTCTCTTTCTCCCTTTCTCGTTGTCTCTCTCTCTCTCTCTCTTTCTCTCCTTCTTTGTTTCTCCCTCTTCTATTTATACGCAGAAGTCCGACACTTATATGGTTATTACCCGGACCGCCCCCCTATACCGGACCCCTCCCCCAGGGACGCCTCAGACGCCCTTTCGGACGTGTCGGCGGCCCCGCGGACGCCCTTGGAAAAGGTCCGCTGGCCTTTTCGGGCCCCCAAAGGCGCCTTGCCAGGCCTTGCGAGCAGACTCGAGGCGATCAGAGGGGTCATCGGAGAGGCGCAAGAGAGACCCAAGACAGCACATGAGCGCTCCAAAAAGAACCTCGACGGTCTGAACTCGGCCCGAGAAACCCCCAAGACGCCCCAAGAGGCCATTCGGAGAGCCCCGAAAAACAAAAATCGTCCCTTTTCCCGAGGGGGAAATGTATATTGTCACATCTGCTGTTCGCAACGTCCAAACCGGCCCCACGAGAGCCATGGGAGACCCCCAAAAACGGCCCCAGATGGCTTCAGAAAACCTTTGGAGGGCCCCAGCTCCCCAAAACTACCCAAGAAGGCCCAGGACGGCCCACGAGGGCCCCAGGACGGCAAACAGCCACAACAACGCCCAGACGGCGTTTTCCTACGAAGTACATCGAACTGACCCGACGATCTTGCTTCCACGCTTGAAGCGTGAGGTTTCAATCCCCCGATCAAAAGAGACAGGCAATGGATCTAGATCCAAATTTTGACGATCGAAGATTTCCTGAATGACTGGAACCCCCCAGGCATTCAGGAAACGACTAAATATCGAACTGCTCAGAGATGCTGCGACTTATTCGGCGTGTCATGGGAGAGCTCCTTATTTGCTCAGAGGACCTTCGCGCGTGAAAACATCATCATTCCTTCCCCATTCCTGCGCACAAGCGTGCAAGCGCATCGGGCGAAGGCGGTGTCAGCAGGCGCCAGGGATATCAGAAAAACGAAACGGTCGCCCGTCTAGGCCTCGAGGTATCCCCTGCTGAAGCAAGCGATGATCTATTGCTGTGCCAGGGAGGGCCCAGAACAAGGCGCATGGCGCGAAGCGCCAATGCAGTCTTGTACATGTATGTATATATGTATAGTCAAGTGTGTGTGTGTGTGCTCTCTCTCGCTCTCTGCCTGATTCCCTTTTGTTTGTTGCCCCCTCTATCTTTCTCCCCCCATGTTGATTGTCGTTTGCTATAGTGTGCTCCCTCTCTCTATCATTACCTCTCCCTCGCCTGTCTGCCTGTATCTGTATGTATATACAAGTTTGCGTTGGCGCTTCGCACCATGCACATTGGTCCTTCGAGCGTCGCAACTGTTGGCACTTGGCGTCATCCTCTTTAGCCATTGCCACGTGGTCGTTTCCTGTCAAGTTTCTTCACCCGTTCAATATTTGCTCTCGCCCTCGATTTGCATGTTCGTGCGCCATCCGAATGTCTCTTGGGGTGCGTTTGGACGAATTTCGAAGCGGATCGAATGAGGTGGCGACGAGAACGCCACCAAGAGGCCCCGAAAAGGCAGGGTTTCGCCACAATCAGAGCAAGCGAAAACAGACATGAAGGATGTGGCGCATGCGGGAGCTGAAAACATTTCAGCCCACAACTACCGATGCATGGGTACGTACACAAGTGAAGACCATGTTCCCATGAATGACGTGGAGAGCCCCCGTGTAGCCCATACACTGACCCGCGTGTTGCCATGCGAATGAACGTCCCAGAAAGCAACGCACCGCCAAGGAAAGCCGCAGAACACGAAGCAATGCAATGTCAAGCGATGCCGCTTTGGCTTCGGAAATACACCGAAACCTGGTTTCGCCACAGATGTCTTGTGAATGTTCTTGCAAATCCGGGATTCGGATCAGTTTGCTCTATTTCGTAGGAAAGCGCCTCCTGAGAGACGCACTACCATGCATAGGAATGGCGTTCGGGGTGCTTCGCGTGGCCACCACACGGGCTCGCTCGTGGCCCAAGTTGCTCAGTCGCACAATGCAAAGCAATGGACAGCATCGCCTTGTCGTTCCACATCGTTCCTCTCATTTATGCTCTCTCTCTCTCTCTCGCCTGGCGCTGCGAACTATTCCTCGTCTCCCGCAAGTTTTTTGTTGCAGAGGATCATCGTTGGAGTTGTCTTAGCGGCCTCACGAATATCTCTTAAGGCCCTTGTGGGCCCCTGGAGGCCCTTTTTCTGGGCTGTCTTGTAGGGGGCCCTTTTGAAGCCAGTCTGGGCCGTCTTGTGTCCCTTTTGGGTCGTGCTGGGGCCTTCTTGGGGGCCATCTGCGGGCCTTCTCGGGACCATCTTGGGTCCTCCTGGAGACCTCCCATGGCCCTCGTGTGTCTCTCTTGGTAGCCTTGCGGAGCCTCGTGAGCATCTTTTGGGTTGTCTTGGGGCAGTGTTGGGGCCCTCCTGGGCTGTCTTAAAGCCCTCTTGGGGGCCTCTTGGTCTGTCTTGGGGCAATCGCGGAGGCCTCTTGGGCCGTCGTGAACGCTACTGCGACACAACAAGCGAATCTGCTGAAAATGGACGGTTCCCCGGAAAGGGAATGGGAATCTGTTTGCCTCTTAAGTGCCCTCCTGAAGACGGCCTCTTGGGCCGTCTTGGGGGCCTCGTGGGCCGTGTTGCGGCCGTCTTGCGCTGTCTTGGGGCTCTCCTGCGCCTCTTCGACCTCTTCTCTGATCGCTTTTGGTCTGCTGGGCAAGGCCCGACAAGGCGGCCTGGGAGGCGCGCCAGGGCTGGAAACCTCTTCAAAGGCCTTCCAGGGGGCCCCAAAACCCTGGATCCGGGAATCCTTTTTTTTTGGGGGGGGGTCCCGCCCCCCAGGCTTGTAACAATATAGGAAGACGAATACACACATGTGCATGTCTCTATCTCCCTCTCTCTCTCTCATCCTCTCTCTCTTCCCTGTCTCTCTCTCTCTCTCTCTCTTTCGTTTCGCCCAATTGCTATAGACTGCCAAGCTGACACAACCTGGCACCGCCCGAACAAGAAAACTCAAAACTGAGAGCTGGCAGCTCACCCTTCTGCCGGCAGGCTTCGCTCACGCTGGCAAGACGACCTCCGTCGCTCCAAACTTGCCACCGCTCGGACGTGCCCATTCCCCATTGTTTGCTGTTTGGCCTCGTGCGCGCCTTCTCCACAGGCTGACCCAACATGCTCCCCGAATGATCCACTTCAGTGCTGGCGCTGGCCTCGCCGGCACAAAAGTGCGCACGCCCGAGCGATGCCAAATTCCCGTCCCAGACCCCCGGTGCGGGCAATAATTATATCCACATCCAGTGCGTCTTGGATTCTTGGGCCCTCTTCCTCAGAAACCGTAGACGCACTGGATATGGATAAAAATCTGGCCCCAACAGGCTTGATTTTATCCATATCCGGTGCGCCTCGGCGTTGCGGCACCTCTTCCCCCAAAAAAACACGACGCTCTGGATCCGGATAGAAGTACTGCCCGCACCCAGGACCGGTTTTTCATCCCGAATCGTTTCTGTTGATGCTCCCGAGGCCCGGCAAGGGCCCCCGGAGGCCGAACAGGGCGAAACAAACCTCCCGCGATCGTGACCTTTGCTCGGGGGGGCCCGGGAAGCGCACGCGTCCGAGCGATGCCGAGCTCCAGAGCGCCTTGCCTCCACGGAGGCCCCTTGGCGCGCGCCCGGGCAGCGGCCTGGGCGGGCTTCCCGCGCGCGAGCAGCAGCCTGGCCGGTGGCGCGGGGGGGGGGATGGGCCGCGGCAGGCGGCCGTTGAGCAAGGACCGACCGTCCCGGCTCCGTGAGCGTTTTTCTATGCGGCACGTCGACACTGCCTCGGAAAAAATTAGCGAACACTCATGCCACATTCATCCGTGAACGCCTCCCCCTTCCCCCAACGTTCAGAGTTGGCGGTGGGTCTGATGAGTTGCACCTCGACCGCAGTCTCCCCCCCGCGTGCCAACTTTGAGTTTTGGGGGCAGGGGGGGTGTTCACTAATTGTTTCCCTCTACCGTTGGGCGGGAAGGGGGGGGGTCTGGCTCCAGACCTCTGCTTAGGGCGATCGACCGTCTGCAAGAGTGCTGCCTCTGGGGGAGACTTTCCCCCGCTCGAAACGGGCGCCAGAAGGCAGCCAAGATCTACTCCATGAGGGGGGGGAGGGGAGGGGGTTGGGGGCCCGCGCCGATCGGCAAAACAATGCGTGAAAAAAACGATCACATTCCTATAAGCCTACCACGAATTGTTTTAGAATCACCACACATGTTTTGAAACATGAGACAGAGCTCTTAGAGCAGAAGCCCGATGTGCTACAACAAGACAGCCTTAGCCGGAAGTGCTCCGAGAACCCCAAAAATGTTGTGATAAATGAAACAGAGCTCGTAGAGCAGAAGCCCGATGTGCTAAAACAGGACAGCCTTAGCCAGAAGTGCTCGAATAACATGCCGCGCAGACCACAAAAAGGCTCTCAGAACATCTTCTGCCTTGCAATAAAGCGAGACAGTCTTAGCCAGAAGTGCTCGAAGAACATGTCGCGCAGACGACAAAAATGTTCTTAGAACATCTTTTGGTTTGCAAGAAAGCGAGACAGCCTTAGCCAGAAGTGCTCGAAAAACATGCCGCGCAGACCACAAAAAAGGTTCTCAGAACATCTTCTGGCTTGCAAGAAAGCGAGCCTGCACGCTCTTTGCCACTGCTGGAGGCCCGATAGGGGCAGGCCAGCAGAGGAGACAGGTCGCCACACGGGCGCCGCAGAGAAACGGCAAGGATCCGCCTCCCAGGGACATGCCTTGGAGTGCAGTCGGGGCGTCGACCTAAGGAGCCCTAAATAAGGAGCGAGGCCCCTGTTTTCCATAAGTTAAGCTTAGATTTCCGATCGGAAACATAAGGGAAACCTGAGGCAAGCTGTGAAACACTTACGGAACACCGAGCCCCTCCCCAACGAAAGGGGTTCCTTCTTCAGGGCCCCGACTGTACCACGTGGGACCTGCTTCAGGACACGAGCACAAACGTAGACGGACCTGCCCTTGATCCGGACCCCTGTCACTGCGCCGCACGCAGCGGCCGCCCTGTCCATACACGCATCCATTCCCAATGCGTTACGTGGCGGCACCCAGGTGTCTGTAGACGCTTGTGGCTAGAAGGTGAGAGCGGTATCAGGCATATGCCCCAGACATTGGTCTTCTAGAAAGACTATGTCCCCCAAGACATGCCCATCCTCCCTCAGATCCAGGCGACGCAAAAATCACCCTGTGACGTACCCAACCCATTTGTACCATGGGAAACGAGGAGTTGGCCGAAACTTGCACGGACCATCCAATTGCAGGATCCGTTGTTTGATATGTAAGCTACTTGGGACACGCGCCAATGGCATGATGCGCAGGAGAACCATACAAGAACGAGGGGCGACAACTACAGGCTCGAAGAAGACATGGGGAGTCGGGAACGAAGAGCAGGAGAAAGACGTGCGGGAAGCCCACTGTGCTGGGCCCCTCAGGGACGGCGAGGTCCCATTTGAATCCGCCGTGGGTACCCACTGTGCTGGGCCCCCCAGCAACCCTCGAAAGTGGCGACAGTTTCACAAATCGCAGCCCCCCAGGGATGGCGAGGTCCCATTTGAATCCGCCGTGGGTGCCCACTGTGCTGGGCCCCCCAGCAGCCCTCGAAAGTGGAGACAGTTTCACAGATCGCAGCCCCCCAGGGACGGCGAGGTCCCATTTGAATCCGCCGTGAGTACCCACTGTGCTGGGCCCCCCAGCAGCCCTCGAAAGTGGCGACAGTTTCACAGATCGCAGCCCCCCAGGGATGGCGAGGTCCCATTTGAATCCGCCGTGGGTACCCACTGTGCTGGGCCCCCCCAGCAGCCCTCGAAAGTGGCGACAGTTTCACAGATCGCAGCCCCCCAGCTGGCACGCAGCGGCGAGCGAGGCGAAAGGCAGGGGGGAAGAGAGGGACGGGAGGCGGGAAGGAAGGTTCGCGCGAGCAGTGCTCTATTCAAAACGAGAACCCAACGCAGGAGGGTTGGGAACAAATGGCGCCGGCCTTTCGCTGTTTTTAGCTTCTCAGGGAGGAGGGTTTTCTCTGCTTTCTCTGATCTGGGGGCTCACGGCACTGGAAGAAGGCCGACGGGACATGTCAGCGATCATGATGATGATGACGGTGATGGTGATGACGATGATGCTGCTGATAATGATGACGATGATGATGACGATGGTGACGATGATGACGATGATGGTGCTGCTAATGATGATGCTAATGGTGATGATGACATTGATTATGATGAAGTTGCTGCTGATGATGATGACCATTCATCATCATCATCATCATCATCATCATCATCATCATCATCATCATCATCATCATTATCATCGTACTCAGCATCATCATCATGATAGGGGGGCCGACGGTGGTCCCTCATCGGCGCACCGACAACTTTGCGGCGATGCGATGCGGGGCTCGGGACTTCACAGGACCTTCACGCAAGGGCGCTGGACTTTGAAAACCATGGCTTGTACACCGGGATTCTGCGGCACATTAGCTGCGGACGATCCCGGGATCCTGCGATCCCAGGCCCCAGCGCACCCGTCCTTCAGCTGGGATTCTAGGAGGGGGTGCGGGGGGTGGGCTTAGGTCGGGCATGTCCTCCTACAGGCGGATTTTGGAGGAAAAATGAAAGAACAAAAACAACAACAACAACAACAACAACAACAACAACAACAACAACAACAACAACAACAACAACAACAATTACTAGCACGTGGGGACACTCCGTTCTCACCAGTGCCAGGGTTTTCATAGGAGGCGGGCAATACCCCCACTTTGTGGGGGGGCCGGTTCAAGCTCTACCAAATTTCCAAACGACTCTTCGCCACCACCCACACCCAGCTTCCCGCCCTATGACGTTCGGACACTTCACTTCGTGGCATGCGGACGACCGTGGCTACTATTCAGGGCCCCGCGGCCGACGACGACGGCGTGCGCGCGCGAAGAAAAAACGAATGTGTCCCGCATGGTATTATTTGACAGGGATGATGGCCCTGGCAGGTGCGCAACCGTTGTTGCAGAAGTTCGAAAAAGTTGCTCGCAAAAGCCCGTTTGACAGAAATGTTTAAAAAGTGTTGGGTTTCCTACGAATCCGCAAGAGCGCGCGGGATGAAATTTTGACATTTTTTTTTTTTTTTTTTTTTTTTTTTTTTTTTTTTTTTTTTTTTTTTTTTTTTTTTTTTTTTTTCAAAAAAAAAAAAAAAAAAAAAACATTGTTTTTTTTTATGTTTTTATGTTAAAATCGCTACGAAAACTAAGGTTTTGGAAGGATTTCGTCTTGCGCGCGCGAGTGCCCACTTTACATTATTTTTTGCAAGGGATTCTTGAAGTTTGGTTATGTTAGAACAAGAAATGTCCACTTTAGCTTATTTTTTGCAAGGGAAAGCGGGCCGTAACAAAACAACCGGATCCGGACCAACCCGTTTTGCCTGAGACTTCCTCACGAAAATGATGAAAATGTGGCTGCGGCCTAGGCGCGGCGGGGGGGTCGTGCACCAGGGGTCCCAACAATAATTATTCTTTAGAAGTAATAATGTTCAATAACAACAACAACAACAACAACAACAACAACAACAACAACAACAACAACAACAACAACAACAACAACAACAACAACAACAACAACAAAAAAAACAGAAAAAGTTCAAACATAGTCAAAACGTCGTCGCCAGACTATGTTTGAACTACTTTGGGATACTCCTCCTGTGGAGGGACGTGCCCGACCTAGTGGTGGGCTGACTGCGCCGGGGGCTCTCCCAGAAAGTGACTCTCCTCGCGCGCGCGGGCGCAACGGCCCAACTCGCGCCCCCCGCAGCCCCCGTCGAAAATTCAAGACTTCGTCGGGAAACGGCTGGTCAGCCGCTCTCTTCTCCACGACTGCTCACCAGGCCACCCCAACCCAACCCGAAGACCCGACTTTGACCCGACTTTCGAGCTGGGGGGCACGGGTTCCATATGTGTTTTCCATGTTCTCCCCCCCCCCCCACCAGAAATGGAGGGCAGATTGAAGCCTTCGGGTTGGGTTGGGGTGGTTTGGTGGGTGGTGGCTTCAGGGAGCCCCCAAAAAACGTACCGGCCCAACCACGTAGATGAATACGGCCCCCCTTCCGCGAGCACAGCCTCGCGTAACGATCGTTCGCACGATGCGGACTTTCGAAAGCAACGTGGGTTCCTGTTCTCGCGCCTGGTTTTTTCAAACTTTAAATTTACAGGCTCACGCGGGGTCGTGTAATTTTGAAGGAGGCCTTTGCCCGATGGCAGCCATCGCCGCCGCACGGTTAGCGCGCAGCATCTTCTTCACAAGACGAACGGTTCCAATCTAAAGGTGAACTCTCCAACGTCTGCCGTCTCCCAGCCACTCGACCCTTTCCCCCGTGCCGGCTGCCTTCCTGCAGGACCAGTCGCCCTGGGGCCCTCACGGGTCGGTGCGGCTCGAGAGATGCAGCAAGAAGACGGAGTCGATGGCTCCTTCGTGATGTTTCACGATGCTGATGTTTCCGCGGCAACGGATCTCAGGGCAGGCAGCGGCAGAGGCAAGCGGCGGCGCATGGGACGCAGCAGGACATACTTACGAGTGCGCCCCCTTGGAGGCGCACGACCGAGATGAACATCTACTACGAACGTATGAAAATAGACTTGGGTCGGGCGGATGGTGGAAGAAAAATGAAACATAGTTCAACAACATATGC